ATGGACAATCGGCTTGGTCCAACTCCTGCTGTCTTTCACTGAACATGTCAGAGAGTAAAGGTTTTATCTCGCTGTTCAACTAAAATCGTTATCATCAACACCTACGCACACTCCTCATCTTTGAGTGGACTGTATCAGTCTGAGCCCTCGTACTTCAGGGAACAAACTAGGAATTACACATCACATGAACACAGCAGTCAGTAGAGCCAGGAAACTAACGAACAGTGTCGCCCCACTCAGGTCTTCTTCCGTGCCTCATTATCTGATCTTACGTTTTACCACCGCTTGCGGATTACAACACTGGACGCACTGCCCTCTTGTGATATTTACTGAACTATTAAACGGGCATTTCAAAGTAATCAACAGGTCACTGGAGCATCCTGTTCGATGTAGCGGCATTTCAACGATGGATTTTACTGGCATCATTTTATTCAATAAGTTTCATATCTGCAAAAAGCTTTTTTCCAAAACACTCACTGATGCTAATCACTCCCTCAGTAGGCGTTGTCGGAAAGTATTTCGGTATTTTTGTTTGTCGCAGTCAGCCGACAATTCAGATAAGTCAACTACATATCCGGAAAAGCACCAGACAGCCGTTTCGCCCTACTGGGGATCGTCAGTGGTGCGCATCCTTCGGTCCTCTACTGAGGATCGAACCCATGACTGCTAGTGGCTTGTGCCAACTAGCCTGCAGCTTATGCAACTGAGCCATGGAGGACAGTAGCCGACCAGCACGAATCGTCAGCTGACTGCGATATAGCCCGACCCATCCTCCAGTGCCATGCAGGCACCTGCCATACAGATGACAGCGGTTGGCCTTCCGGCGTCAGGACGTCGCAGTCAGCCGACTGCTGCGACGAACAAAAATGCCAAAATCCTTCTACTCATAAGTAATACCAATTCGCCCTTACGGATTTCATAAATGCTATGTCGATTCATAGCTGCCGTAAGCGGGACGTCCTGACGCCGGAAGGCCAACCGCTGTCATCTGTATGGCAGGTGCCCGCAAGGCAGTGGAGGATGGGTCGGGCTATATCGCAGTTAGCTAACAATTCGTAACGGTCGGCTGCCGTCCTCCATGGCTCAGTTGCATAAGATGCAGGCCAGTTAGCACAAGCCACTAGCAGTCATGGGTTCGATCCTCTGTGGAGGACCGAAGGATGCTCACCACTGACAATCCTCATTAGGGCGAAACGGCCGTCTGGTGCATTTCCGGATATGTAGTTGACTTATCTGAATTGTCGGTTGACTACGACGAACAAAATACTCGCCAAAATCCTTCTACTCATAAGTATTTCGGTTTCCTCAACCAGATAATCCTACAAAGTCATTTTGTTCGCATAAAGACATGGTGCGTCAGTTTTTCCCTATTTTTCACGTTTTTTTGGAATCAACATTTAGTCAAACAGGAACCGACTGACAGATTAGTTCAATGACATCACCTCGGTCGAGTTCTCAAATTAGTGCCGCACCATATCCACTTGTATTACTTTTGCTGATTTTATCTGTGTTAGCGGTTTGTGTACTATAGCTGAACATCTACTCTACATGGGCACATAAAGCGCATTGTGGACATGACTTGATCATGCACTTGCCCGTTCTACTATATCCGAAAGACTTGATCTCACGGAGCTTAGAGTAACGTTTTTCCATGCACTCCTTATTCGCTTATTGAGTCGGTTGACAAAACCCAACCAAGCGACATCGGGATTGTTCCGCTGGAAAGGATAAATTTTTTGCATCAATGGGGATAGTCAAGATGCTGTAATCTATCATTGGCTTCAAATGTCGGTGTTCCGGAATACTCTGTTAATAGACGCAGTTGAACATCAGATTTACTTGGTCTCTGCGGACCAACAAACCATCTGTGAATACCTCGGTGGTGAAAGCGAGGTCCAACAGAGCTGGTTGTTCCCTGTCCTACTGGGTTGTTCCAAAAGCGATTGAAAAATTTTCAATGCCGTTCCATATTTCTACGGAAGCTTTTTAAAGATTCCTCAATTTGGATTTATGAGGAGACATCCTGAAACAATAGTCTTAACTTTCCAATTATTTTACATCCTGGCGCTGGATGCGGTATTGGCAAATGATCAATATACTGTTCGCGGATGCTTGTATACGAGTTCGTACAAAAGTGCAAAGCCGTAGGGGCTTTCTGAAACCCGTGTGACGCACTAGTTAAGGACGACATAAGTTACGGTATGGTGTTATTTTTGATAGGTTGAATAAAGTAGGGAATTACGAATTGTCAAACCTCGGAGGCCTAGGACGCAAGCCATAGGAAATTGTCAGCAAAATCCAGGAGTCTCTGGAGCAGGAGCTGAGATAATGTATGCGTGAAGTCTCTTTTCACTGTAGCCTTCCAAAGACAACTGTTGATTGCCATGTACGCCAATTCAGAATGGTCTCAAAGCTCAGTCACCTTGTACAACACGACTTGACAGATGAACAGTTTTTACATCATCTGCCATCACACGTGTCTTACTTACCCGAAGGCACAATCATCGACGACTGCATGATATCGTTACTGCAGACGAGAAGTGTGTGCTCCATGTCATCTGTAGCAGGGGGCGTCAGTGAATCGTAGCAGGTGGAACGCCAGTACAAATATCGAACTGCAAATTGCACGGCAAAATTGTTGCTATTGGTCTGGTGGGATGGCTGCAGCGTCATATATAGGAAACTCCTAACACACAATTCCACGGTGACGGTCCTTATCTACTGACAACAGATAAAAAAGATGGGAGAAGAACACCGAAAAGGCATCCAACTGGAGCCCGATTCCCTCTCCTACCTAACGATGCACGCCCTGCTGTGGCAAAGGTGACGCGTCTGAAAATGCAACTGCTCAGTATGATAGCTTATATGCATCCAGCAAATCGCCTAGACTTTGCCCTTACTGCCTACTAAATCTCCCACACACTGCACAACAACGTCAAGGACATGAAATTGGATGACCGTGACCAGGCCAAAAACGTACCTTGTCTAATACTTTTACAGCCAGGCTCGCTGATCCTATGAGAGGCATCACCAGCTTGCCTGAGCGTTGGCAGTACGTCGTGGATAACAATGGGTGTTAGACTGATACAATATTGTTGCTTCCTTTTAATAAATATTTATTAAAAAACTGTTCTAAACTTCTCAATAAATTTCGGGGCAAGCCACAAGTTCCTGGAGGGGAGGTGACGGTGTCTGTAATGTGGTTGGCCAACGAGTAGCTACCGTAATCCCAGTTGGAAGATCGTGGTGCGGGATTGTAACAAAAGAATCCGTGCTTTTGGAAATGCAAACGCCCAATGCGGAACATTAATTTCATGTTTAATTTGTTTGTTTGATTCATGGGCATCGCGCTTCCACGCATGATGTCATGTTTGGGTCGCTTTTACTTCTGTAATAAGGGCAATAAACCAATAGACAACACTATTGTACTCATATTAATATATGTCCATCTTTATATTGCTGCGTCTTTTCTACGATTTATGTCAACAATACACAACAATGTGTGTTATGCCGCAATTCTATTATAGAGGCTCAGCAGCCCCGATTAACTGCGTCTAATAATTTTCCACAGCTCATCTAACCCATCAAATAATTATTCTCGCGCGTATTTTGCGAGTAAAAGCTAGTGATAAATAGAACAGATTTCGTTTATTCAGCTTTTAGTAAGAAGAGGGTTTCAGATTACTGAGATTGCTCCTCCAAAAGTGCTTCCGGTGGAACACCATGTTGCGCAAGTTTCGCATATCCCTTCATTATATAATGCTTTGTTATACTGCCTTCGGTATCATCTCCTTTTCGAAATTTACTAAACAGCATGTTGTTAGTAGTGTTAAAGGGAAGCTACGTTGGTACTTACTAGAAGTTCATCACGTTTAGCCTCAGTCAGACAGCTATCATATACACGGAAAAACGCTGTATGACCGGTTAATTCTCTAAGGAACTGTCAGGATGGCGCATTCCATCTAACCCATGTGCGGTTAAAACTCACAACTCGGCCATTAACATCCTCATACCATTCAAAGTCCCCTACTAATACTTTGTATCAATACCTAGATCAAGCTGCTTTTAATCCCTCGAGTTAATTAACGAATTAAGGTTGGTAAGTTCGTTGCTCGGCGAGGGGGCCACCCTGTCCACTGCGCTATAGTATCGTAATTTGCTAGTAAATATTCGCTGGCATTATGCTACACTTTGTACCTTAGTCACCTTGGTCGCTGTTTTCTCCCTTAGAGCAGTGGTCATAACCATTCATCGTTAACCGTCGAGTTGTGGGTTTTAGCCCGACAGGGGTAACAGGGAATGCGCATTGCTGAAAATTCCCCATAGGATGAAACTGCCATACACTACTATTTCGGAGGTGTGCTGGCTATCAGACTGTGTTTAAATGTGATGCATTTCTACTCGTACAGTTCACACAACTACTACTTATTTGCACTTAACCTTTCGTGGAAAGGGCACTAGAACTCTCATTTCAGGGGCCGTGAGATGATGTAAATAATTTGGGTACAAGAGATGGTGCTGTAGCGCCTGCAAGTTTCCTGTTTATAACTGCAGTTTCCTGCTTTTACTCGCGCCATTATTTACAGTTTGTTTTAATCAACTCGGTCGACACAAACTTCTTCGAATCTCTTCGCCATTGTCGCTCCGGTCTGCTGGATTCGTTTCCAATGTATTTGGTTGTTGCGCTGATCATCGTACAAACGGCTCGGAACTAACGTACTGATCGTGCTAACCTATACAAAGGATCTTAGATAGTTTATGAGTAACTCGAAGTGGTAAGCCTACCGAGGGTCAGTGAGTATTTTGCCCAAATTGACTGGCTATAGCTATATCATATTGTTAGATCGTTCGCTTCTGCGGTGTCATAGTGCGAGATAGACGCTGCGACGAACACGCGTAAGAAATCAGTAGATAATGTACTCATTTTTCTAACGAAAGTAACTGTCAATCTTTCGGTAGTTAGGTTTACAAAGCAAGAACTAAGAAACGGACGGACTTACCGACATCAAAAACTTTGAAATCGAGGTCTTTGAACCTGAAATTTGTTTCAACTATCCCAGTGGTCTTTACTCGAGATCTCAACACATCTTGCTCTGTTGGAGTATAGCCTGGGGCAGATATCCTATCTAGGGATTGTATATAATACCCGGCTGAGTCATTTAGTTGGTATTCCTTTGCTCTTGAAAAGCACTTCTGTACGCTTGGTGTTTCCCAAAGGGTGTGTAGAAGCTTGGCCAGCTCTTCTGGAAACACTCCATCTTCAACGCTGACGAGATATCCATTCAGCTTTTTAACCTCCTCCTCTGGGTCGAAGGTGTCAGGTACAATCTCCAGAGACTCCATTGCTTTCAGTATTTTGATCATCGATTGAACAATGTTTGCAAATATGATGCAAACGTATTCCTTCCTTTCTTCCTCTTTGTAACCTTCACCATGTATAATTTTCATTTGTTTCAAAACAGTGGACTTTCCACATTCACCAGCTCCGAGTAGCAATAGCTTTACCTCTTTCATCGCCTTTTCTGCATCTTGACGAATCTGCTTTTCTATCGCTTTACTGGTGTCTTGGTGATTTTTGTCAGGATCACTCCAAGCACACCCCATTGTGCAAAGTTCCAAGAATTAACTTGGCTACTGAGAGATCGTTTGTAGGGAGTAGCCTCAAATCAAAACATTTCCAACAGGCATTTACCAAAAATAATTAATAGCAGCGAAAAAACAGGCAAACATAAAAACATTTATAGTGTTGAATGATAAAATCGTACGCTGAATAATAGACGTCACTATTTAGTGCTTGTTTGTTATCGCGTTGTTTTAATGTACAAATACCTCGGTTTCTAGGTTCTGCGGCAAATCGAAAAACCATGGCGGAGCAGGTTTGTCTGCCTCTTCAATTTCTCATTTGCTGTGTAGAAAGAAAACGCATTCCAGAAGCAAGAGGTTAAAGGAAAAAAGGGTGGAAGATATTACAAAAGTATCGGTTTGGGATACAAAACTCCGAAAGAAGCCATTTTTGGCAACTACATCGATAAAAAGTGCCCTTTCACTGGGAATGTGCGCATCCGCGGACGCATACTAACTGGTGTTGTCCGGAAAATGAAAATGACTAGAACGATTGTCATTCGTCGCAATTATTTGAAGTACGTAAAGAAATATAACAGATACGAAAAGCGACACAAGAATATGTCGGTCCATTTATCCCCATGCTTTCGGTACGTTTTTCATTCGCCTGATCAACGCTTAGGGATGTGAATGTCGGTGATACGGTCATCGTTGGTGAATGCAGGCCACTTAGCAAAACTGTTAGTTTCAATGTCATAAAGGTTATGAAAGCACCTGGTTCTAAATACAAGAAGAGCTTCACTAAATTCTAGTGACAACTTTGCAATAAATCCCTTCCAACGGATTTGTGTTTTTCCAAACACGCAGTGCTTATGATACAACTGCTGCCTATTTTCGTTGCTACCAGCTCTAGGATTTGTCTGCCACTTGGCAACTGCCAGTGCTTGGTTTTACGCATTGTGACAGGTGATTCACATGGTTTTTGCTTATTAAATGTGGTCGAGATCTACGGACGATACAGGCTTCCGCTCAACGAAATTCCAGCTTCTTGTACTGGTAAGCGAACTAGAGTTTACGGCACTCCGACATTTGATCGCCTCTCCTTGCTTCTGCAAAAGGAATTGAGGCAAGGACATGAGCAATCCTTGCATTTTCGTTTATCAACTTCAAGTATCATTGTTCCTACACTTGGCTAAAATCACATTTATCCAGGAAAAGATGCTACTAGCACTTATCCAAATCTGCTTTGATGGCTGCAACACTTTCGCAACCCACTAACCCAAAGTAACTTATTCTAGCTGCGGACTACACGGTTCGTGAAAAACTTTGCCGTGATGTCCATTCTAGCCCTTGAGCTTCATACGATGCCCACGCAAATGATCGGAAGTAGCTAGCTCAAACAAATCAGTAGGCTTGATGGCACTGAGGTCTTCGTGATCTTAAGCGTTTCTATCAGGTTGCCTCAGTCTACGTTGTTCCATGGAAAATTACCCCAAGCACTTTTGGCGATCTTCATACGACTTTCCACCTTTGTCCTCAGCCATCCTGGTTGCCAGTTTTTAAATCTTCCATGCAAGGAGATAAGGCGACCAAGCCTCCAGATGTGGCCTAACCACTGCTTTGTACAATAACAGGAAAACATCTGACTTGCTGTTGCACAGTGCCAACCTAAAGTGAAACAGTTTCTGTCGTGCTTTGTTGGTCGCATAACGATATTGTGTCGAAGGCTTAAAGCTGCTTGTCATGACGACTCTTAAATCAAAAGCCTGATTGGTGCACTGCATCGCAATCCCGTCTCCATTAGGGGTCAATAATCGTCATTTAAAGGCAAGTCCCATTGTTTCAACCAGTTTATTACACTGATGATATTTTTGGTCAGTGTTGCTCGGTTGCCCCTGCTGACCAGCTTTAAGTAATCTTCAACATTATAGCAGAAGTCTTCAAGAAAAGGGGCCAAGTAATTTCTAAACATAAGAAACAGTAGTGGATCTAGTACCGATATTTAGGGAACGCCACTGTAGGTCATGCCCGTACGAGAATTCACATCCACGATTCAAAGTCGGAACCTTATACATAGCAATTCCGACACTCGACAGGAATTTAGGGTGCAGTCCCAGCGGTATCACTTTCTCCAGTAAGAAACTTTGATTTACTGAGCCGAAAGCCGTACTAAAGTCGATTTAGCACACCACCGGAATTCCGTCATCAAGACATCTAGTACTCTCATCTAGAAACCACAGCAGGTTCGTGAGGTGCGACTTCTTTTTAATGAAACCATGCTGTTCCGCTCTAGTTAGAGTATGTTCCGCCAGGTGCTCACGAATTCGTTTTCTTATTACCTTTTCTTAACACTTGACTATAACAGGTTATTTCGGCGGGTCTATAGTTAAGTGGTTCGGATCTTGCTTATGGTTGCCTCCTTCCAGTCTCTTGGTAACTTACATTCCTGAATCGACAACTTGAATAGTTCCATAACAGGATGCTGAAGAATCTCAGCTAGTGGCTTGACTATTGCTGGATGTACATTATAAGGACCGGCTGATATGAAGGTGTTCAAGTTAGCCATCACGATGAAGACCTCTTGTACAGTCAGTACCATGTCATGCATTGTATTACTGCTTACACAGTATGGCTGCGATAGTGCAACATCTTTGCTATCTCTTATGTGCGGATTCTGGAAGACCCGTAGCAGCACTTCCGCTTTATCCCTAGCTTCTACAGCCTGATTGCCATTTTCCATGTTTAAACAAGCAACATCCTCTCATAGGGAGGCTCTAGACTGGATGTAGCTATACTAAGACTTTACTGTTTTTGCATACTGGATCAGCCTAACTTCATTTGAATATCTAGCCTGCCATTGCAATTTGATAGCCGTATTCCGGCATTTTGTGTGCTGTAACCATCGTCGAAACCCTTTGGATTCATGGAATTTTTTCCATTTCTCATTACGCCTGTTTAGTGCTCTATCGATTTTGAAACGAGGTGCCGCATATGTCTGCAGTTCGGCTTGGAGTCCAATGTAAACTCGATAAACGCAGCACGTAAAGGCCTGAACCCGGGTTCAGAATGATTCGCGGGTCTCTTGGAACCCAGACAGACGAAATGTTTGTCAGACTTTTTTATTTCACTCAAACATCGGTTAGAACATTGCGTCCAGGTGCCCCTTGGTTAATCCCTTACAAGTTGGCAGTGGTGCTAGTCCCTTGGGTTAGGAACATGGTGCTGTATTGTTTATTAAACATTAAATAGGTTGGTCAGTCTTTCATCACGGCCCGTGGACGAGTAGTCTGCGCTCCTGATTTGCAACCATTAGCTCACCATTTCTTATCGGCGTAGGGATGGGCGTTCTCGCGGTATACGTAGCCCACGCGAGACGTGGTGGTCCTGTGGAAGCGAAGCGCCGCTACGGCGTTCAGCTGGCGATTTACTTTTTATTTATCGTTCCTTATACTGTAGGCGTCGACACAGTCTCTAGTCATCTATCACATGGACGGGGCAAGTAGGTTCTGATTTACCTGTCCATTTTATCCAGCGCGATGACCAAATCTGTGCAAGTCTCGACCTGGCCAGGTTTTGACGACATCAGACTTTCGCCTACGGCCCGTAGCGTAAAGGTAACAATCTTGTGATCTGACGGCGCGGGGATTAAGCTTGCTTAGGGGCAGGGCGACCCTCACAGTATCCTTTACTTACATGTGACCGGTGGTGGTTGCGCGGCAGCGAAGCGTTGGTACTACGTACCGGTGTACTGCTGATGCCTTTCTTTGGTGACGTATTGCCTCCAACAGAACAAGAGCTTAAATGCTGGCCTGATTCTTTTTGTCTGCATCTACCAGCTTCATATTTTGGCCTTCACTACAGTTCCTCATGCCTGTTTCTTTTCCTTGAATCTTAATGGCTATTCATTTTTCCGTTCCCTTCCGTTGCGCTGTTTACTTGCCTTGCGTGATCTACACAAGAATGACTACTTGTGCACAACCTGTAGGCGTCGCTTGAACCTGATGTACGTGCGTACCGATTTATAATTATCAGTTGACAAATCTATTCGCCACAGTCTACTGTGAATCAACTACTTTCTACAAGCGAACCAACCACGGGCTTTTTTAACGTTAATGCTCTATTTGAACAAGACTTTCTTACGTACCGTTTCCCCTATGCTCTCACGCATAAAGGGACTGTTATTATCCACCACTTTGAATCAGTCAGTCTGACTGGATCTTTAGATGATGCAACGGTTTACGCACCTCTTCGACTTATTGATCTTCACTTGGTGGTGCCCTTGGGAGCTACACTTACCATGTTGATCAATCCCTAGAGGTCAGACAAATTCGGTCTACTTGTCCTTACAGGTTGAAGGTCGGAAATGGGATAGCGTTTATTTAAAAACAAACCGCTGCCACCTCTCTGCTGCATTGCAGGCAGCTTTTTGTGCGAAACTTTGGTTGAGGACACTAATCATCCTGTCTAAGTCTGGGCGCCGTGGCAGTATCTCAGCCCACGTACAACCATGACTATCTCATCTAACTGCAACCACACCCTGATTATCAAGGGTCGCCTTATCTGCTGGATAGAGTAGCGAAGACATGCTACCGTTGGCACCCTTTTTTCTTTTCCACTCATCTCCCTTCCATCGCAAGAAGTCTTGACCTTAACGTAAAGCGATGTTTTGCGTGCCTCAGCGATCCATTGGACTATACTGAGTGGTGCTTTTGCACCTTCAGAGCAACTCATACCGGATTGATCAATGATTAGAGGCTTGGCAAACTCTGCATTCTGGGGTTGGAGGAAGAGTAGATCCTTACTCGATAAAACGGACTCTGGAGTTCAGTGCCAAAACCCCGTTGCTTTGTGTCTAGATTTTGAACCCACATTTTCCTTTCTAGGCCTGGGCAACGTGACACTATCCTCCACGCGTAATATAATACAGTGGCTGAAAACATTCTCGGCCGGTTGCCGAGTGGTCTGCGCGCCTGGTTTGCAACCATAAGATCATCAGTTCGAATCCGCGTGGGGATGGGCGTCCTCGCGGTATACTCAGCTCATACGCGACGGGTGGTGGTCGCGTGGCAGGGAAGCGCCGTTACGACACAGTTGACACATTATTATTTATTATCTATAAGCATTTGCTTGATGCTCTGGTTGTCTCAGAGAATAATGAACTGCGCCGTATCTGCTACGTCGAGGAGGGTGGGCAGTGGTAACGATGCTACTGTTCAGGTCCTCTCTTCTTTCTGTCACGCCTCGCGCTTTTTCATCATTATCATCCCATTCCAACTTCACTTTTATCCCACGTATTCAACCCTCTAGCTCTTGACCTCCCCCACTACTTTGAAAAGCGTTTGTCCTCCAATTTTAACTCACCCAGTCGCAAGACACTGCTCCGGTCGAGTCGGCACTTCCATGTTCAGCCGAACAGACAACGTCAATTCGTTTGTTTTTCTCTGGACTCTTCGATTCCCTAAAATTGGCGTATCTCAGCTTGTGCACTTTGTTGCATATTGGCCAGTAGTCAGCACTTGCTCGGACGCTAATGACCCTGTCGATTGATATCTGCTGTTTATCAGAAACTCGCCTAAAAGTTCGAATTTTTTGGCTTATCCTGCGATCCCTGGCGTGCGACCCTGACGATATTCTCTTGTTTGTCCGGAGATGACGCGGCTCCAAAGGCCTTTCAAACCGGTGTAGGCATTGCTTAGCCTTCGAGATGCATTTGCCTTGGTCGATTGGATTCATAAGAACAGCCGCATGTTTGCTGCCAGATTGGATGGCTCGTTCCAAGCCCCGAAGTCGCGTGGGGGCAAACGGTGCTTGTTTGTCATTGCAACCTATGCGCCTTTAACTGGT